TATAGCCATGTTAAAGGAAAAAAGAGAAAGAAAGAAAGAAAGATATTTTTTCTTTTAAGTGGAATGCAAGTGTCTTCAGTTCAGTTCAGTCACTCAGTCATGTCCGACTCTTTGTGACCCCTTGGATGGCAGCATGCCAGGCCTCCCTGTCCATCACCAACTCCAGGAGTTTACTCAACTCATGCCCATTGAGTCGGTGATGCCATCCAACCATCTCATCTTCTGTCATCCCCCTCTCCTCCCACCTTCAATCTTTCCTAGCAACAGGGTCTTTTCAAATGAGTCAGTTCTTTGCATCAGGTGGCCAAAGTATTGGAGTTTCAGCTTCAACATCAGTCCTTCCAGTGAATATTCAGGNAATAAGTAGGGTGACAATATATAGCGTTGATGTATTCCTTTCCAAATTTTGAGCTAGTTCATTGTTCCTTGTCTTGTTCTAACTGTTGCTTCTTGACCTGAATACAGGACACAGGTAAGGTGGTCTGGTATTCCCATCTCTTTAAGAATTTTTCACAGTTTGTTGTGATCCACAGAGTCAAAGACTTTAATGTTGTCAATGAAATGGAAGTAGATGTTTTTCTGAAATTCCCTTGCTCTTTCTATGATCTGGTGGATGTTGACAATTTGATCTCTGGTTCCTGTGCAGTTTCTAAATCCTGCTTGTATATCTGAAAAGTTCTCAGTTCACATACTGTTGAAGCTTAGCTTGAAGGATTTTAAGCATTAACCTGCTAGCATGTGAAATGACTGTAACCATGTGATAGTTTGAACATTCTTTGGCATTGCCCTTCTTTGGGACTGAGTGCAACACTTTAATAGAATCCTCTTTTAGGATTTGAAATAGTCCGACTGGAATTCCATCACCTCCACTAGCTTTGTTTGTAGTGATGCTTCCTAAGGCCCACTTGACTTCACACTCCATGATGTCTGGCTCTAGGTGAATGATCACACTATCATGATTATCTGTGTCATAAAGATCTTTTTAGTACAGCTCTTCTGTGTATTCTGCAAGTGTCTTATGTATCTAAAACTATTATTCCTGTGTTCCTTTGTGTTATATATCATGCACTCTAAAATAAAAATTTTCCTAGACCACACATTCCATCAAAAAAGAATGATTTAAAAACTCAAGGATTTTTATCTTTTCAATCTACATTACATTTTTCCAACTAAGCGTAAATCACTCAACTCAAATTTTCATTTGTTGAAATGCATTCTACATACTCTAAACTAATCACATAAAATGATGAAATCATAAGATCACTAAATCCTTACCCCAAATTCATACCAGTCTTAGAAACAAACACATGGCTACACTTTGAAGCAGGAATCTAGAATCCTAATGTAGGGTTTAGCATAATGTCAGATCTCTTTGGACACAAAAACAAGGAACACATGAGTTATCAAACAAGTTTATTCCTGTGAAAACCATATAGCTAGTCATTTTACCATCCTTAAAGTTTTTGCACTTTAGTATGGGGCATGTGGTTAAAGACTTTATAGATCATACAGACAAATGGGACATTTCAATAAAAAGTTTATTACTAAGAACTTATTGAGACTTTATACATATTCACACACCCTCACACACCCCTGCCAGGAAGACTCCTGGCATCAATATATATAATAATTATTTATATATAACATTAATTAATTATATATAACATTAATTAATAGCATTTATATATATTATATATATAATATAACCACATTATATAGATAAAGAAGTTGATTGTGAGGACTCAACAAGCCAAGTAACTTGGTTATAGAAACACAGTAACCAGATCTTCCGATGACATGTCAGGGGCTTGTTACACTACCTCATACATTCACAAGCACAAAAGAAGTTCTCACCAATAATAAAAGCAAATGAATGACTGACATATGGTGGAATTTTCAGGGATAATATTAGTCTAGTGGAAGGCAGTTTATGTGTGTTGAAAGGTGGAGGGTGGCATGGTTAGAAAAAGCTAAAAGCACAAGAGCAGAGGAATCTTTTCTCCACTAGTAACCTGGAGCTGCATTTCTAAGTGCCACTGGCCAATGGGCCCACATCCAACCATATGGGACATGCCTCATCCGGCTAGTCCAAACACGTGCATTTGAGACCCTGATGGCTTCAAACTTTAATAAAGCAACTTCTGTATTACAGCCTTGCTAAATGGTCTCAAAAGTAATTTATATCTCATTGTATCTGGAAGAATCTTATGTAGTGACAAAATTACTGTCATTGGCTGATAAACATTTATCCAAAAAAAAATTTTAAAGTCAAATCAATTCACAAGAGCATAAGAAATGAAAAAACTCTATTTTTAATGGAATGCCATTTTTATTGAGATCATTTCAATAACTTAGTACTGTTAGCCACTAAAACTACTACTATAAACTCTCCTGGCACCAAAATATAAAGAAGCCTGATGCATTTATATGCTAAAGTGGCTCATTTTTAATTCAACCATAAATGCCTTTAAATTTTTTTAATGCTTTCCGAATCAAAGCATTAAAAAAAATTGTAGACATGACCTGGGCAGCTCTGAAGAAGGAAAAATATAAAGGTATCCCCTTATTACTTTAAACCCTTTTGATCCAGAAAGCATCCAACTGGTAGAAAATTTGTTTCACGGCAGTCATAGGCCAATTTTCATACCAAGTTATAACTCGCTGAGAAATTCTGCTTTCTTGGGGACACTTTCAGACCCTTAATGTTGTGCTAGTACCAGGTCTCTGCAGTACTCACATTTATGAGTGTACTCACATTTATTCTTAGCTGATTAAATCTGAAAGTATCAACCAGCTCTTGTATGAGAACATTAAGCCTTGTTTACGATCAATATCAGTATGCACATCCTCCTTTCTTAACTAATTGCAGAATCTTCCTGATGTTTATAGAGAAATAATCCAATCATTATTGCACAGTAAAAAAAAAAAAATTGAGGTGCCAGGATACCCACTAAAACAGGGAAAAGAGTCATTCAAACATACTCCATTAATAAAACTCATTCCATTTCTTTTATATTTCCTTCCTGTGAAATATACAAGTCTAAATTGGTGTCTAGAATTCCAGAATCCTGCCCCAAAACTTCCATCAGTGTCCCTCGAAGTTCACCAACAGCTCACCTCATCTGTGTCTCCTTATACAGGCCTATGAGTTGTGCACAGTACTGTACAATCCTAGGAGTGCCAGTGACACTGTAAAAGTCATGGTTGTCAATATTCAAATCACACCTTATAAACTGGCAATATTAGTAAGATACATGGGCTTTTTTCATGAAGTCAGTGTAGTATGACATTTTTCAACAGAGAATAAGTGTTTTAATGACTCAGCATAGTTTTCTAATTCACATGAAAATACCAGTTTATCAGCAATTTTGTCACTAACCATCTTAATTCAGATAAGTCAATTAAATTAATCATTTGATAATGTGTATAACAAGGAATAGGAATTTTTTTCCTATTTGGAGGCAATAAAAACCCTTTTTTACCGTAAACAGGGTAAAGACTTAACCAAGGCCCACGTATCTCCCAGAGGAGTGACTTAAATCACTTTTTTCCTAACTTTTTAAAAAAAATAGATTCATTGTTATATCAGTTTTTTCACTGCTCCTTTACAGACCAAGGAGGTGGGTCACAGAGATTTCATCTCCTGAGAGGTTTTTTTTCTTAATTGGAGTAGTTGATTTACACTGCTGTATTACTTTCTGTTGGATGATAAAGTGAATGAGTTATACATATATCTACTCTTTTTTAAGGTTCTTTTCCCATATACATCATGGAGTATTGAGTAGAGTTCCCTGTGCTATATAGTAGGTCCTTATAAGTTATCTGTTTTCTATATAGTAGTGTATATATTTCAGTTCCAATCTCCCAATTTATTTTCCTCCTTCTTCCTCCCTGATAATCATAAGATGGTTTCCTACATATGTAACTCTACTTCTGTTTTATAAATCAGTTCATCTATACCATTTTTCAGATTCCACATATAAGCAATATCATACAATATTTGTCCTTCCCTGTCTGACTTATTTCACTCAGTATGCTTTTTAATTTAGGAGAATATATGCAAAAACATACCTATAAATAAGAAGAAAAACTACAAAGTTCCGTAATCCCATCTGTACCCAGAGAAGAGGAAGAGAGAGGAGAAGGAGAAAGAAGAGGAAGAGGGAATAGAGGGGGAAATATCCTCAGAAGGGGACAGGGCAGGAAAGGAAAAGAAAGATACAAAGAAAGAAATCAAAGGATATAAGTAGGTAGGAAAAAAAGAGAGGCATATAGAAGAGAGACAGCAAGAATGATAACAGGTGAAAAGATCAAAGAAAAGATATTTTAAATTCTCAGATGAGCACTAGTTTAAGAGTAAATTGAATTAATTCTGCTTTATTTTTCCTTGCTTTATGAAAAAAGTTACTTTGTCAGTGCTAACTAGGCATGAACCATTTATCACAGGTCTTCAACTATTCAATATCCCTACACTTTCCAAGATTCATTTTTAGCAACTCATCAGGGGTATAGTTGTCTTCTTGGCCAAGGTAATTAGACTAAAAATAATCAAGCCAAGCCAAAAAAGATAAGAGTAAACTACTTTCCCTGAGAGAACTGGCAGCTTTTGATATTACATGGGCAGTTGTGGACAGATATGATGAAAGGTTGACACTCTATTCTGTGGAAAAGTATATTCAATGGAGAATAACACCATGCTTAGCTGTGGCAAAATGAATCCACTTGAGTTATTTGATTTTAATCAACATTTAAACTATATGAACAAGCTATCAAAGTACATCCTGATCAAATACCTAAAAGCATTGTTTTAATCAGTGTGTGAGTTCTTAGAGTTTCTGGAGGCACTAGTTTGAATATATATTTTTTAAAAATCATGGTTATTTCACAGATCATTAAGTTGGCCTCTATACTCCTCCTCGGACTAGATACACACACACACACACACACACACACACACACACACAGTATTTTCTGGTGACAGTTTATCTCATTTTCCACAGTGCTCCTATATACCTAAGTGTGGAAAAAATTTTGAAGAATCCATGTCCCTGGTGAATGTTGTCATGGAAAACTTCAGGAAGTACCAACACTTCTCCTGCTACTCTGACCCGGAAGGAAACCAGAAGAGTGTCATCCTAACCAAACTCTACAGTTCCAACGTGCTGTTCCATTCGCTCTTTTGGCCAACGTGTATGATGGCTGGGGGCGTGGCAATTGTTGCCATGGTGAAACTCACACAGTATCTTTCCCTGCTCTGTGAAAGGATCCAACGGATCAACAGATAAAATCAAAGTGGATGAGATCATTTTCTTTAAAGCTCAAATACTGTTTTCTTTCATTCTTCACCAAAGAACCTTAAGTTTGTAATGTGTAGTCTATGAGTTCCTTAATATATTCTTATACGTAGAGCAATAATGCAAAAGCTGTTCTATATGCAAACATGATGTCTTTATTATTCAGGAAAAGAAACAACTGTTTTTTGTTGGTTGGGTTTTTTTCTTAATCTTGGTTCTATGCTGGAACTAGTACTTCCTTCTCTCCTTCTGCCAAAATCGGGCTCAGTTATTTATTTGCCAAGCTTCATGGAGGAATATAGGCAATATCTGTGACAAGATCTGTGCTCTGAGTTGTCAGATCTCTTGATATTTCTGCAATATTTTTTGTCATTCATTGTTTACTAAAGCTGCAGCCAAAAATATTTTTTCTTTCCTTACTCTAAACTGAGCCCTGTAGCAAGTGAAGGGACCAGATTTCCTAACTAAAGGATGTTGTGCGTTTTCCTTGTATTTCTACCATATCACTGTAAAGAAGAGGGGAATCCCAGCAGCTATTTTTTCTTTTATTACTTTATACTCATAACTTTAGATTTTTTAACTGATTTCCAAAAAAATAAGCTGTTTTCATTAACCAATTCTATAATCTCTTCCTGTGATTTAATAGAAAATGAACAGAGCCCTTTTCCATGTAAGACCCTGCTACTGTGTGAGAAACTAACATTTACCAGGAGTTTCATTACCTATGAACTGACAAGGTTGAATACAATCCAGGAAAGTCTATGTTACTAAGATATTTGTGTGAAAATCTTTATTCCATTTCAATTGAACTGTTAAAATTAAGATCTTACTTCCTGGTCAAGGCTAGTGAACTGATTTCAATGGATAAATCTATCACGGCAAATTAACATGTTGGAATATTGCTTTCAAGAATTCATGTTTAAATTAATGAGTATGTAGTCTCTCTTTCTCACAAGAATACCCCATTGGGATTTTTAAATTATAGCACAGAATATTTGTCTCATCTACATGCTTTACTTTTCTATTTACAATTCTCTTTTTTATTGTTAGGTTTTATACACAATTTTTTCCCTAACACACACTTGGACTGAATAACAGATTTAAAGGAACTTTTGTTCACACTGCCATTCACATTGTTTTTGGAGTGGGGCGGGGGAAGAAAAAATGAGGAACTGGTTTTAGACAAAAACATTCCATCTTTTATTTAACATCAATATCAAAAGAAGAACAAACATCTATCTTTCTCATCTGTATTTAAGTACCTTTTTATATATAAGAACCTTTTATAATCAAGGTTTTCTAGGTATTGCAGAATTTTACAAATCATATGTGTGGAATGAATAGTGAAACTAACCTGATGAAATAGAAAAGATTCTGCAACATTGTAATTCTTAGTTTAATTTTCAAAAACAAATAAATCCATAGGGTATAATCAGGACTTCAAATGCGTAACTAAAACTTAAAAAAAAATCCATTCCATGGGAAATATTTCACTGCCTCTTGCATTTTAAGTTGATAAGCCCAAGGTAGTCCAAAAACCTATGATTCACTATTCTTAAAGTTATTTTGGCTTCCCTGATGACTCAGCAGTAAAGAAGCTACCTGCAATGCAGAAGACCTGGGTTCAAACCCTGGGTTCGGAAGATCCCCTGGAGAAGGAACAGCAACCCACTCCAGTATTCTTGCCTGGGAAATCCCATGGTCAGAGAAGGCCGGTGGACTACATGTGATCCATGGGAGGACAAAGAGTCAGACACGACTGAGCAATTGAGCAAAGATTATAAAGGACATTCCCTTTTTAACTCTCAAACACATACACATGATATTATAAATACTTGGAAAATATGATGGAAAACTTAATTCCGAGTTCATCTTAAAAACTTAATTCTGAAGATAATAGAGAAATCTTTGAGACTACAGAGCTAAAATTTTGTAACCTTTAATGTACCTTGGGCTCCCTTCAAGTGATCCAAGAGTGAAACACATGCAAGTAAAATTATTAGGTGAGTTAATTTTTCTTTCCCTCTAGGTTTTTTATTAAAAATTCCCAACTGATGTATCAGATAAGACTGTAGAAATCGCAAAATCATGACACCCAAAAGAAGTTAACTAGTGCCTTCTTTAATTCCAATAAAGAAACAACCTCTTAGAGTAATTTAAATACATACAAAACTAAATACTCATTATTAAATGAGAAAGAACTGAGGCTAATAATGTTTTAAATGCTTTGCATGAGTTAGATAACTTAAACTTTATAACAATCCAATTAAGGGAGCACTATTATTATCCCATCCTACAGATGAGAATGGTGAAGCACAAGATGTTTTAAGTAACTTCCCCAACAGATAGTAGGATAAGAAGTGAGAAAATAACAAGCTTGTATCTTTTACATTGCGGCAATCATTCCTATGGCTTTGGAGTTTTTCAGATAACACTCACAAGGTTTGGTAGGGAAGCAGGACTGAGCAGACAATTTTTAAGCTGAACCTGTTCTATCCTTTCACATTTGCAGCAACTATAAGGAATACTACAAAGTATACCACTGACTTCTCTCTTAAGAATGAATTTATAATCTACTGGAAGGGTCAAGATAATAGATCCAAAAAAACCAGAAAACAGGTCTTTAATCCACATCAGTGTGGATAATAGTAATATCTACAGAGGGTTGGTATGAAGCTTAACCAAGGGAGGTATAAATAAAATGCTTAGCACTGTATATAATATATAATAGATGCCTACCAAACAGCAATTATTCCTATTAATAGTAAAATGAAGAAGTCATTTATAGTATAACCTTTAGTATATGGTCTCTTGAAGTTGTTGTTCAGTCGCTAAGTCGTATCCAACTCTTTGCGACCCCAAGAACCGCAGCACACCAGGCTTCCCTGTCCTTCACTATCTCCCTGAGTTTACTCAAACTCATGCCCATTGAGTCAGTGATACCATTCAACCATCTCATACTCTGTCGTCCCCTTCTCCTCTTGCCCTCAATCTTTCCAAATATCAGGGTCTTTTCCAATGAGTCAGCTCTTCACATCAGATGACCAAAGTATTGGAGCTGCAGCTTCAGCACCAGTCCTTACAATGAATATTCAGGGTTGATTTCCTTTAGGATTGACTGGAGTTAAACTGGCTTAAAATGTCATTATGCCCAAAACTCACACTAATGCATAATCCTTAGCAGGGATTCTAATCCTTAGCAGGGATCATCTAGCAACAGGGACAGTTACTACTTGAATCCTACCAGAAATGAGATAGGTTGCCAGCTAATAAGACAATGCTAAATGTTCTTCTGATAACTTTTTGAAATCTGTCTCCCTGTATCTACTCACTAAATCCACCCAAAACCAGATCAACACTGCTATCACTAACTTATTCTACTAGCATTATTTTATTTAAAAATGGAGGGAGGGTAGGAAAGACCAATTTCCATTTGCTTAGAATATAAGATCATGGAAAATAATTCAGCCAGAATTATGACATAAATAAAAATTTATAAATGTAGCATAAATGACACCAATTTTAAAAGGTTAATAATATAATCATTAGAACCTAAACATTCACAAATAACTTAAATTGATAAGCGAGTTAAACCCTTTAATGTCCATGTGAATATTATTCTTACAGTGCCTCTCAAGTATGATTAGGCCTTCTGAAAATTAGCACTATCTGAAATTTTATATTATGTCCTTATTCAACTATGTGACAACCAAGTTATCTAAGTGACCAGTTATCTAAGTGTGAAACTAAGTTATCTAAGTAACCAGATTACTTAGGAGAATAGATGTTTTCCTAACAAAATGTTGCTACAATTGCACCATGGGTCCATCTTGGCTAGGATGTCATTCTCCAATGCAATGCCAAGGAATTGAAAGGAAATGTCAATCTCTGCATTTTTGATAATGACTTTATGAGCAAATGTTTCATTTAGGTAGGAAGAGAAGTTGTTCTCTCAAACAATACAATCAATTAGGGCTTCCATACCTATTCTTTAGCCAAGTTCTAAAACAAATTTAATCCCCAGACTCCTGCAAGTTGTAATATGACTAGTTTCCAACATAGTATGAGATCAGACTGTAGAGAAAGTTTCAAGATCCTCTGCACAATCCCACCAGCTATTAGCACAATTAGTAGTACCAGAAATTTTTGTAGGTAGAAGTCACAAGGTCTCTTCATAAAAATCTCTCCCTCACACTACTTCTGTCTCTCACTATTTGGCTCCCTCTCTTTCTCTCTCCCCACCTCCCCCATTCTCTTAGCTCTATTTCTTCTCTTGTTTAATCTCTGTACACAGCAAAGATGACCCCCTACAATTACATGTTCACAAAATCCTTTGTGGTTATAATCAAAAAAGAAGAACCATGCTCAAATTTTACTTTGTAATTTTTCTATGAATCTTCCAGTTATCTCATAAATCATTTTTAATTCTAGTTTTCACTCAATGAGAGATACGGGAATATTTTGGCTTCTATCTGAGAGGTTCTCTTAGAGGCAACTGACATCATCCTAAGAGGAAAGAATTGACAGAAAATAGAAACTAGTTTAACGGAAAGGATATTTGGAATTAGAAAATCTAATGTAAGCAACTATCACTATTCATCAGTTACTAAAGAATTTCTCTGTTTTTCTTAAGGGCCTTATGCTTCGGGGCTGGTGAATACCCATTTAGACTAGCACAGATTCTGTCGCCCCATTTATTGCTTGTTTTGGAATAAATTCATTCAAGGAGCATGAGAAGAGACACAGAGACAGGTTCTCCCTAAACCTTGGGTTTCTCACACGTCATAACATTTAAGCAAACAGTTCCTTNAGGAGCATGAGAAGAGACACAGAGACGGGTTCTCCCTACCCCTTGGGTTTCTCACACGTCATAACATTTAAGCAAACAGTTCCTTTTCAGACCGTGCAGTGAGAGAGCTGATCACAGAGACATCAGCAGGAAGCTTCACTCACAATCTGCAATACTTCAGTGAATTCAACATCTAGACATTCATATAATACCCTCAACTTAGGTCTGCCCCAATTCATCTACCTCCTCCATTAGAGTGTCATCAAAGCTCAGCTGTTTTATTTGCGGTGCTAAAAACCCAGCAGTTTGTGAGGCAGCTGCAAGCCCTGACACTTAGCTCCTTCCCATGGTGAGCAAACAAACAGACTGTCCTGGTGCCATCCTTGAGCATGACAGAGGCATCATTTCAAAACAATTAACAGTGTCTGCTCCAACCAAAAGCATGCAGCTGCTGTGGCCGACATCTAACAATGCTGAGAAGAAAGCCACATTCAGATTAGGGACTCAGACTTACATGTCAAATATACTCTTTCCTTTCCAACAGTTGTGACAGATGCAGAATTTGGTGCAATTGATACACTTAGGTCCATCTCTAGAAAGTCATAATCAGCTGGGAAATTTCAACTTCCTAGAAAAAGAGAGCGCCCTAAACACAGCTTGGGCAACTCTTAATGGAAATCTCAGCAGGAGCCAGGTCTGACTCAGCCAGTCAAGGCCACTCAGAGCAAACCAGTTTTGTGTTGTGTGCATGCTTAGTCACTTCAGTCATGTCTGACTGTTTGCGACCCTATGGACTGTAGACCACCAGGCTCCTTTGTCCATGGGATTTCCCAGGTAAAAATACTGGAGTGGGTTGCCATGCCCTTCTCCAAGGAATCTTCCCAACCCAGGGGTTAAAACCACATCTCTTACATCTCCTGCACTGGCAGGTAAGTTCTTTACCATTAGCACTACCTGGGAAGCCACCTGGGTTCTGTGCTAACACCAACAAAAAAAAGCCTTCCAATTCTCAATTTCTTTGAAAATGTCATGATATCTGACTGAATAAATAACACTTTGAATACTTACAACCCTCAAGTTATCCTGGCAAACATCCAAAACTATTTAGAAGAGTCTACTTGGTATTTGTGAGAAGTCCCATGTCCAAATCATCCAACAGTGGAAATCAGCAACTCTCTCCGCTTTTAAAAATGAAGTATTTTAATAGTTGAGTAGCCTCAGAAACTGCCAGCATTTACCACTAAACTCAATTTAAAAAAAAAAAAAAAAAAACCATGGAGATTGGAAAAAAGGGGCCCTTTGAAAGATCAGGTAGAGCCAGCAATTTATTTTACCCCTGATATCAGTGTAGTTTGTGATCCCTGAAGAGCAGCCACTGGGCAAAATGCAACCTACCTTCACATGGGCTTTCTTCCCATTTCCACTTCGATCTTGTGGAAAGTAGGAAATCAAACCCAGACCAGCCCTGACACTGACAGGCATCAAGGCCTGCTAAAAGGAAGGGGTTTTCATTCAACAATAGCATATAGACCAGCATGCTGTTCTGCCTTTACTTAGGAAAATTTACATCCCAAGACATAGGGATGTTACTGACAAGTTTGCCACTGTAAATGACTGGGATCATGGAGTGAAATGACCTTTTAAGTCTGTTTCCCACTGTCATCCCCACACCTCTTATGCTTC